TATTATTATTTCCAATGGTGTCCAGAGTACTCAAAGTACCCAGAGTACTACAGCATCACACTAACAGCTCATACACATTCTCCCTTAGCAAAATGCATATACAGATTCTACGTGCTGACACACTCAACTGTCACAAAACAAGGATCAAAAATACAGAATACATGATTGCATATACAAGCAAGTAAAATTGATATTTATTTCTTAAACCTATGGCTGCCAGTGAATGCTTGAAAAGTAATGTGACTGGGTTATTAGCCAGATTACAAGCAGCAGCAGTATGAGGAAGAGCAGTCCGCATGACAGAAGGTGACGATAACACCGGAAAATGGCCCCGGTGAGCGGCGAGGAGGAGAGTGACCTGCACACGGCAGAACCGGCGAGCAGCAAGGACCGGCACACGGCACAGAGTGAGGGCAGGCCTTCAGGGCTATGGTGACTCATTAAAATTCTAGTCACCATTCCTACTTAAAACAAATCACAAATGGCCATAAATATTCATAGATACCCACTGCGATTTACATGTGAAGCTTCAGCGAGTCACCTTGGTGGCTCTCCAGCGCAGGAAAGGACCCCCGCATTTTACATTCATTCATCATAATTGGCATTTTACTGAGCAAATATCAAGGCCTGTCAATCAGAAAAAGGCTGGATACTCTGATGTGTGTAGAATTATACAAACTCCCACTCTGAGTGCCTCTGTATCAAGTGCACTGTGTCATATCACGGGGATCATCCAGATTTATTTGATGTTGCGGAACACTGTGGATGACAGAGGAGGATTCACAGAGATCTGACAGAATGCCACACTCGAAATTTCAGCACTAGTGTTTCCAGGCATCAGATTTGACCAATAAAATTCACTAAAACGTCTTTCATCTCTGTCTCAGCGATGAAGCCCAACAAGACTGCACAAATGGTCTGCCGATTGGATTAATTTTCTGGTTAAGCATGTACTCCGAGAGCTGAAGGCCTGTTCTTTTACTGTGTGTAGCCCTTGGCCCAACTCGTAGTTTCCAGACCAGTTGTCCTTGACGACTAAGGTGGCAACACGATGCAGTGATAGATGACAAACACCGTGGGGAACCTCAGTGTGTCCGTTACAGACCATAAGAACCAACAATGCAACAAGGTCGATTTTTTATTCTCACCTAAAAATGGCCTTCAAATATGATCAGAAGACCCATGACATTGGAAAAGACTGATTTTAATGCATGAAGGTAAAAGAGGCTGTCCTTAATTTGTGTGTTAGGACAGCGATAACTCTACACGTGCACCTTGGAAAGACTGAATATTTACGATCCATGCTCATTCAGACTACACAACTGGAGCTAGCTTATTATTAATCACCGGCAAGGCAAAGGTCAAAGGTTATAAAAAAGAAAAGTATACATTAGTGTCGTCATTCGAGGCCATAAATGAGCACTCAAGTGTATTTTATACAGACTTTTTAAAAACACGGCTAACCCCGGCAGGGAGATCAGTGGATATAGATAAAAGCAGACTGAATAAGTCATGCAGTGTTTAACGCAGGCTGCGGCAGACTCTGATGCTGTGTGTCTCTTGGGCCAGAGACGATCTCCTCCATGGAGACTGATTTACCAGACACACATCGAATCACTAACAATGGCACTTTATTAAATCATCTCCAATTTTAAGAAGTAAACTGTGGAAAGTGCACAAAAATCTTAGGCGCTCAAAGAAAAAAGCTATTAATCTATTAATTGCTAAAAAAAGAAAATTACTTAACAATAGGATATACGCACATTAACAGTAACGATAAATGCTAACAAGAATTTCTTCTGTTCTCTAAAAAGTTACTGATATCTAGTTAGACGGATAGATGAACATCGCTTCAGTTCCCAAACCTCTCCTCAGGGGCACCTCAGCCATTCCATGTACTTATTGAATTTCACCACGAGCTTAATTAATTAATTTAATTACTTACATAACTTGATGGGGTATTAATTAGCCAAACATGGCGTGCAAGTGGTTGAGTCAACAAATGCATGGGCTCATTGGATGTTGTAAATACTCGGGTGACTTTAGCAGAGGTTCTGAAATGGCTAAGCTAACACACTTTGACATATTATTACAAATTTACATCGATATGAAGATCATTTAAACGTCATTTTCTCTGTCTAAGGCTTTTCCGCAGTGCTGTATATTTAGGAGGTCGCATGTAAACTATAGAACCCAAGTCAAAGACTGTAATAGAACTTCAGGGTTGCAGCCTGCAAACAAATCAGGTCTGTTTCTATCAAGGCCATGAAGTGATGTTCGGCGGTCACGGGGCCACTGTTCAGGGCCAGGAACCAATCAGAGTGACATACAAGTTCCGCTGGGAACCAATCAAAACACGGCACAAGGTCAGTGCGACAGGGACACCACACGGTGCCATTTTCATGGCTCATTTGAGCAGCCTGTCTCTTCATGCAGGGATGGTGTGTGAAATCTGACTTCTGCTACAACCACTTTGTTTAATTTAGCAGCACAGTCTCCACCTCGATAAACGGCTGAATCGGCAGAATAAGCAATACAGTTCCTGGGAATAGTGATTAAAAATAATAATAAAGCGCAATAAATGGTGAGAAAGCTAATATGCATAAAGTTGGACAAACTGGAGTGATTATTCCAAAAAAAAAAAAAAGCCGGCATACACTATGAAGGGAGTACTGGAGGAACACAATCAAAGTGCAGCGATTTTGGGACAATGAAACAGCTTTAATAACTAAGACTGATCTGCTGAGTAAGGTACAGAAGGTTTCTGCAGACAAGTGCTTAGGATCATTTTAAATGAAATAGGTTTTATAACGCCGGGATGCCACCCCAAGTCTGAACGCTAAATGCTTCTGAGAGAAAGCAGCTGTGTGTGCCAAGAAAAGAAGAAAAAAAACCTCATTTACTGGCCAAAGTGCGAATAGAAGGACCACACAACGACGACGGAGAATAGCAGGTCCCAGTGGGGGGGTGTTATCTGAATTCATAGCACTGAATATTTAGTTTATTTACAGGATTTTTCACCATGATACTATTAGAAAGAATGGTGGCATTTCTGAGTTTGGAAGAAAGCTTTATGAAGAAACAATGCCTTTTTAAAAGAGTCAGCATGAGGGTTAATGCAAACCTATTGGTGGAGGCATATTACAAGGAGTGCTGCTTTTCACTGAATACAGAGAGTCGCTCTATCTGATCCTAACACAATAACAAAGTAATAAGTATCGCGTGCAGAGCCTATGCCAAGGCGGCAGCCGGATGCCCGGGACCGCAGCGGAAATTAATTTCTCAGCAGGCCTGCTAGCAAGGTCATTTAGCAAATTATGTAGCGCCACAGACGACGATCCGGCCCTGCCGTGTCGCAGCGGAGCTGGTGAGCTTCAACCAGCAGGGGGAGCCCTCGCCCCCCACTAGGATCAGAGATGATCAAACACGTTCTGGCTGTTCAGGATTGGCTGTCGATGGCGTGAAAGGAGGCTTTACAGGGACCAGGCAGAAACCAGTGCCGTGTGGATCCTCGCAGTGCACATCACTTTCGGACTGATCTGTCGTCTCCAGTGAAAGACAGACGCTTCCATTCCCTGATCTATTGAATCGCTATACCGAGATTTCCATACGAGGATAAAACTTTAAGAAGACATTCCTACTAGTATAAGCAGGACCTTTATCCATCCAATATATGATTTCAGGAGGCCAGAACAGTGTTGGCTACTGCACCTAATGATGTTAATCTGTAAACATTTTAAATAGTGAAAACAAATGTTATTGTCTGCATTTTTAGTCTTCAACCACCAGAGGTCCTCGGACACCTGTATTTTTCCCACTTATATCCAAGCAATACACTAAAGTCAGTACCTTTCTACAGAATTTGGGGATGCAGAGGTTGCAATCAGCCAGACCAAACATCCACAAAAAATTTTGTTTCCCTATTAAATTTGTGGTGAGACGCTTGTGCACATTGTAATTTTATACGAGAAAGTGAAAGCACAAAACCACAACTGCAGAAACACTGCGGTAGACGGATGTTTAAAAATTGATCACATAATTCCAGGCAACGTGAGAGAGAGAGAGAGAGAGAGAGAGAGAGAGAGAGAGAGAGAGAACAGCCTGTAGTGCTTCTCTGGCTACCTGATGCTGCCCCATGTGGTAATATTGAGAAGTGCATGGTGAAAAGGTCACACGCAGGAATGTCACCGTGCCCACAGCTCACCTCTGGGGCATTGCGTCAACCAGGTTAGGTTTCCCCTTTTAGAGCATTTTCGACCCGGTGTCCCTGGGTACAGGACGCGAGCTTGAGAAGCCCAAACACTGGCGTTCATTGATCGAAAATAACCCAAAGTCCAGAGCTTTCTACATGGGCATACATTCACAAAACAAACTCATAGACCAAAAACTTACCCTTACAGACCATTAAAAATATTTTCATATAACATCTACAGGGAGAAATTAATTTAAGCATTGACTCATTTAAACCAATCGAAAACTGAGAAATCATCTACGAACTAAAGAATATCTAAGTTAATTGGTAAAAATATTTATAAATCTTAACAAAATTTATATTTACATTTATTTATCAGATGTTTTTATCCAGAGAGACAAACTGTTTTTTTTTTTTTTTTAGAAAGCAGGTTCAGCCAGTCCCTGGAGAAACTGAGGCTTAAGGGCCTTGGTCAGGGGACCAATGGTGACATCACTCTGCCAAACCTGGATTTTTGACCCAACTACCTTCTGGTCACAAGCCTAGCACGCTACCCCACTGAGCTGCACACCGTCCCCACACCTGTTTTACTCAAAGTACTGACTGTCCAAGTACATTTTTAAAAATAAAATTTGCATAAGAAAATTCTATTGTTTTTGCATTGTTTTTTCTTTTGTTTTTGTTTTGTTACTATTGTTTCTCTGCATTGTTTTTTTCCCGGGAGAACCTGTCTCTCCCAGCACATTCAAACGAGGTCGGAGTGAGTGTAGCCGCACTGATCGCAAAGCTCAGAAACTCCTCGACTTACCCAGAGGCACGGAGGTCTCGCAGTGGTAGTACCCGTCTGGAGTCTTTTTCTTCAGCATCGCGCACAGGTCGAGTCGTGACGCCGTCTCATCCCCGAACTTGTGCTCCGCAAACTCCGCGTAGAGGCTCGAGTTCAGCTTCCGAATTCCCTGCAAGGCAAGCAGCGCACACCGCGATTGGCTGAGGGTGCCCACAGACCCTCCCCCCACAAATCAGACCCTCTATCTCACCCCAGCTAAAAAAAATTTTAAAATTAAAACTAAATTCTAAGAAAAAGAATTAAACACTAGCAGTAGATCCACATCGCACAAACTCAGAAATAAGCTCAGAGATTTTCATTACTGCAGATCCACTGCTGTCATTTTCCCTAGAGTTTCAGAGGTTGAATCATTCATAAATAGCCTCCCAAGTCTATTCCCAGCACCTGGCATTCCGTCTCGCCCGAGAGCATCTGCACATATACAGAGAGGTCACCGTACCCAGGAAGACAGCGCCACAGGCCACCATCATCTAGCCAAACGCTGCCTGATAAATCCCTTGGCTCGTCTCTGAATGACTCTGTCATTTCCCGTAACCCAAAAAATCTTAGGATCACATTACAATCATCCCAGTTCTTTCTGGCACTGATAAAGTTTCCTTCCATTGAATCTCGGGTCCACGGTTCCACAGTCAGCATGGGAAAAGATTTATTTTAGCAAGATTACATGTTCCACAAAATGCTAAAGCCAATACTCTAAACAGACAGCTTTTTGAAACTACAAATTGTTAAGACTACAGCCACATACATTTGTTTAAATGTTTCTCATGATTTCAAAGCAGATCAGTCTTTAATTGAAAACATTTAACAGTCAATGTAATTCACTGCCCAGCATCACATTTTTCTACCAAACATTCAATAACAAGAGTTTCCTACTTTAGTGTCCCTGTGTCACCTTACACTACACTGAAGTACAACTGTATTTACTTACTAGTGTTAAATGATGAAATTAACACTAACACTCAATTCCTGCTGAATTCAATGAGTGCTGCGATTCTCCGTCGCGTGTCAGTTTTCACATTCCACACAAAATACTTTATTTTCAGCACAATAAAACCAACCAGTTTTTATTACCACATAACATCACGACCATGTATAATAATTCAGGCAACTGATCATTAAACTTTAATGGAAACAACGCTCATTCTAATCCTATACAGTACATAATTACAAAATAAAAAGCTATTATTCCATTTTTGAAGTGTGCCTATTCCATGCGCTGTAATATTCCATAACTGAACTCTACGATCATTAAAAAATAACTCAACATAAAGTTATTTTATTATTGTGACAGATTTCCCCCGCTGATGCTTTTCAGGCTGCTCCCTGTCGCCGTGGCTTCCCGCCAGGCGTGTTTACACGCTTAAAGCCAATCAGCCATTTGCCGAGGCGGAATGCGCAGACCCACCTTACCAAGAATGACTCAGCTTTCCCACACTCTCATCCTGCCGAAGACCATCGAGCTCCACAAGCGGCTCCCGCCGCCGAGAAAACTTTCTGGAAAGGGGCTGAACGAAAGCTCCTAAAGCCCCCTTCCTCCCAACGCACGGTGGGGGGGGGGGGGCAGCGGTGACCTCACCTGCCGGCGTAGCTTGGGGGCCTTGGACAGCTTCATGAAGGTGAGATGCGGCCGAAACGCCTTGCTTTCTCCGGATGGGATGCCCCGCTCTTCAAACGCCTTCCTCACTGCCTCTGGAACATGAGGGGGGGGGGGAGGCAAGAGGTGAGGCGGAACGCGGGACTGCAGTGGGAGAGCAAAGCACGTAAGAAGAGAACATAATCAATAGGATGGAGGAGGCGGAGGAGGCAGAGAGCCGGGTGGCGGACCTCTGCTTCTCCCAGCGTGGTTACATCAGTGCCCCAGGCCCCCCCGAGCTGAAAAAGCCCCCCCCCCCCACCCATCCAGCCCATTAAACCGTGTCTACTGCCGCGAGCCGAGCGAAACGTTTTAGCCGGCGACTGGATCGCAGGATCGCCCACAGCATGAAGAGCGCAACAAAAAACCCCAGCGCTACACACCTGCGATCCCCTCTAGCGCCCCCATGTGGTCGCCCGACGCCAGCCGGGCGAACGCCACCTCGTTCCTGAAGTGGTCGATGCCGACGAAAGGTAGGACCAGCCTCCGGCCCTGGAACAGGTCCTGCAGCACTTGCTTCATCTGGCCAATGGCGCTCACAGCCCTGGCGGGACACTGACATTAGCCCTGCCCCCCCCCAGCTCTGAACTAACATAGGCTCGCTCACCCACCCACACGGAGGATGCATATGGAATACTGCTACGTCGTTAATGAACCCAGGATCGAGGTCCCACACAGGACGAAACTAATGATAGTGCTTTTTCACACATACTTGGAACTAACGCTCTTTAAAATCAACTGCAAGTCCATTAACACCGTGGATTTATCAACTTAATCTTGAGAAAACATTCTTAGCAGATTTAATGAGTTCTTTATGACAAAGGTTAGTGTTACCAGTGCCTAGTTCATTAAAGTTAACAGTATGTGGGTCAATAATAAGAGAAAAATATTCAGTCATCATATAACAAGAAAAAAACAGGCAGTGTATGATGTTGAGTGATTGTGATTGTGATTGTGATTGTGGCTGCCTAGCAAAAGCAGGGAAGCCAGAGGGGCAGAGATACTCACGCACTGACTTCCTCCTCACTGCCCAAGTAGGTCACTAGCAGGGTAATGTGGAGGCTGCCCACTGGTATCAGAGCTCGTGACAGTCTGTTGTCCTTCTGGATGATGTGGTCCTGGACAGCCTTAATGCCACCCTTGATCTGAAACGCGGTGAACGCACTGGTTACACCCTGTACCACAGCTGAAATGCAAACCTGCTCAACCAGAACCACACTCTTCCTCAGAAAGCATCTCATAATCAGTACCCTTTCACTGACATATAGAAGAAACCTGATCCCTCTGAACAACATAATGACAGGATTAGCTGGAGTCTTATTCTATAATTCATGAGCTGCTTTATGCTCCTAATAACTGCAGGTAGCAAAAAACCCAGGAAAAAAAATGCCTCTACAAATTAAATCTGAGCATCATTTGTTCTGGATGAAAGCACGGACGATTACTGATGCAAGTAATTACTTTTTTTTCCCCCTCTGCTTGTTCTTCCGAGAGTGCTTCTTTAAATCAAAAGACCCGCTGGCAATAATCTGAGTCAAACAACATTCAGGAGCTGATGTATGATTTATATTTATTAGCATAGGGTACAAAATGCCGCAGTAGCTGCAAAATCCGCCATGATACCAACCCACCAATAATGTAAACAAATGAAAGCGTGTACCAAACCCGGGTTGCCAAATGAAACTCCAGGTAATATTTCGCCATTATTTTTGGAGGTACAGCGCACTGCAATACACTTGGACGTAGTTTGTTTTTCTGAGGAATTTCCATGACATAGCATAAGTGTAATATTTATGGCATTTAGGCTACAAAGGGCTTCTGAAGACCAGGCAGTGCAGCACAGGGACCTCGTCCTCCCAGGACCGTCACACCCTGCGGTACCTCGGCACTGCTGATGGGGATGGACACGAAGTAGTTTGGCCTCTGCTGCCTCGTCTTTTTCTTCGTGTCATCCTCCTCGCTCTGCCCTTGGCCGCTTTCTCCTCTTTTCCTCTTTTTATTCTGGCTTTTCTCTGACGTCAAGACTGAACAAACGAAAAACCAAAAAAAAAAAAAAGGAGAGCCGGTCAAGCATTACCCCCGACCGCAGGAGATTGGTTCAAGCTCGCTGGGTCGAGTCGAAATTATACTCTCCCAACGTTTAGAAACAGCTGCAGCACCGGTGCAGTTATTTGTCTTTCCTATAAAAAAAAATAAGCCACAGGAAGCAGCAAAACAAAAGCATCACTTGTGACAGTAAGACATCTGGGGGATGCCTGAATACAGCAGCAGCTGGGGTTTTAGCAAGATCCTTGCATTGCTTGGCTAAGCACCGTAAGCAGGGAAATACTGTCAATATGGGGCCCATTTGCATTGGCGATCTGTCTGTCGTGTACAATAACTATTGCTTGCCTCTGCTCCTTTCCAGCACTTCAGCTGATTAACTACAATCGTCCTCTTCATGAGAGTTTGAAGACTTATGCCTTATTATAAGTCTGCACATGGCACAAAGAGGGGAAAAAAAACACATTAACGGGTGGAGAAAAAAAGACCTTGTAGCAAGGACAACGTATAGGGACAGCACTGGCGATTTCAGAAGTTTGCTGGTCCTCGCTTTACGACCCGAACAATAGTGCAAAAAGCACACTTACAGCCAAGTTCCTTCCATACTTCCTCATTGACAAACGGAAGTTCAGCCAAGAGGTTGTCAGGGCACTCGAGTGACTTTGATTTCTGCTTTCGCTCTTTCGCTTTGCGTTTCTGCCTCCTCTTCTTCGCCTTTTTGCTTTCTGACCACAGACAGGTAGAGGAAGAGAAGGTCATGTGCAGCCACCTCAAACATATCAAGCACACTTCTGAAAGGCTGTTCTTTCATTTGTGGGATGCCTTTCCAGTGTCATATTGTTATGTGAACCATCAGACTCCCGTGTTTGTTGGTACTTGAGTTGAGTTGGTTATTTAGGTATTTTTACCAAAGAATGTTTCAACTTATACCTTAAAACTGCAAGAAACCTGTTGTTTCTTGACAAGGCACCAGCGTACCAATAATTGTGTGTGTTGGTGTCTATGTGGCTCTTGTGCTGCATGAGTTTTCTCCCGCAGTTCAAACGCATGCAGTTAGACCAGTGTTTCCCAACCCAGTCCTCGGGGAACCCCAGGCAGTCACGTTTTTGCTTCCTCTCAGCTCCCAGCGCACCTGTACCAGGTATTCGGTGTTCCTGATTGGCTGGGAGGTAGCAAAAACGTGGACCGGCCGGGGTTCCCAGAGGACTGGGTTGGGAAACACTGAGTTAGAGGTCAGAGCGTCACTAAATTGCCCTGACACATGCCCTGAAATAAACCAGCATCCTACAAAGGTGTCCTCTGTGCAGTCTAGGATTGACTCTTCATGAGACACAAGCAACTGGAGAATTGATGGATATGAAAAAAAATATTCTGGATATATTTAATCATCTTATATCTAATAGACTGAAACTCATGAGTTAAATTATAGATTGTTTTGATGATTCAGAACAAGACTACAATATACAACAGTAAGAATCAACGAAAGTTTATTGAACAGCTCTCTCGAGACGTGTGTTTATTGTGGCTCGTAATATCAATATTAATGGCTTTATAATACACTAAACCTAAAATCTTGATGTATCCAATTTAAGATTCCAAGCACGATTCCGGACAACATGTAACGGACTTCATAAAAGCTTAATGCCTCTCTTGTCTCCAAATGGGTGAGTGAAATATAAGCGGCGTGGCAGATGAGTGAATGCTGGCAAAGGTTTGGCTTCCTCACCGGCGTGGCCGCGTCCTTTTACACCGGCGGGGGAGCGCGGCTCGTCGCCGTCGTTTTCGACAGTTTGTACATCCCGCGTAAAGGACACACAGCGGTGCTCCATATCATCTGCTATTCCGACTGGCCTTAAAAAGCTCGTAGGACCTGCGACGGCCAGCAAGTCGCCAAGATTTAAGCGTCCTGCAAGTATCTGGATTTGAAGCTTTGCAGGAGACCCAGGACGAGGTTTGCCGAAGACACTGAAGGGCTGTAAAAGCAGCGCTTTCGATATTAATCTCAATACTTTGGTCCCATTATATCCATACATAGCTATTAGCACATGCGTGCACGAACTCAGGGTTTTACATCAAATTAATATTATATTTACTGCACACTAATCTGACTTGCACTCCGGAGTCAGTCCATCAAATTAAAGTTCACAATAGTGCAGCAACTTACTGTATTGAAATTAAACGAATAATAAAACTCGGACATTAAGTTTTTAAACTTACATCGTAAATGTAAACTCGAATACAAGCAGACTATCCTGATTAACAGCCCAATCAGGGGAACACACAGCCTCGTTTAAATGGTCCCCATTTTTTGTCAAGAACTATAATTCTTCCCTTCGCAGCGTGAACATTTCCTGCTTGTTTTCCTGTACAAACGAAGCGCTGCTCTTTGCTATTTTAGGGAAACTCGGCCTCCGGGACAGAAATAACCCGCAGAAAAACACAGTGCGCGCGCTGCTTCGACGTGTTTGTAAACACCCATCTACGGGTACCCGCGGGGCTCAAACTGAGCGACCTATTGTCAAACGTGAAAGTTACACGCTTTGATTGTTTTTTAAAGCTTATCCAATTCGAAGACAAACAGTTGTGTTTGCTTACTTATTTTATCACATACATCTTTCCATCCACCTTCCAGCCATTTTTCAATACATGGTTCTGGAAGCACCTGGAGCCAGAGGTGGATAGGTCAGGTCTAGAAAGTAAAAAAAATCCAGCCCAAGGTTTTGTTTCAACCAGTTCAGTACTTCGACTCTTTAAACTCAGTCGGTTGGTTAAAACAAAATCTTGGTCTGGATTTTTATTTTTTGGACCTGACCTATCTACCACTGCCCGGAGCCTATCCAGAGGCAGACATTTCAGGTCCAGAAAGTAAAAATCCAAACCAGGATTTTGTTTCACCCAAACCAGTTGCGTACTCTGTGACTGTGACTTTGGAATTTTACTTTCTGGACCTGAAATGTCCACCTCTGAGCCGATCCATGAGCATCACTACACCCCTTTAACTGGGGGCACCTGCACCAGTATTTATGTGCTGTGCCCAGTAAAATCTCATGTTCAGCTTTCAAGAATCACATGGGTAAATGCGGTGGGGAGTGGCCTGTGCCCCGTAGAGCTTTACATGTTTGTCTAGCAACGCCCCTGAGCCTATCCCATGCAGCACAGGGAGGTGGGGCATCCTAGCCAGCATGTCAGTCCACCACAGGACACACACAAACACAGCTCCTAACTACGTGTTTTAGGGCTTCAAGAAGAAACACCAGACACCTGAGGCTTCTGGGATTGCTACAATGCCCCCAGCTGAAAGGAACCACTGTTCACCTTTATTTAATATTACAGATTCAACGACTGCTTTAACAAAGTGCAGAGAAACATACAGGGCAATCCGCTAAGCTAAGGTGAGGCTAAGTGGATCACTCCAATACATATCCGCATATAATTATAGCAGGTATCTACAATATACTGTAATGTAGCTGAGGTTGTCACATTATGTCTACACTGAACTGTTTACACCAGTCTCGTTTCACTTGCAGGTACATTCATATCTTCTCATTTATCCAAAACGACTTTAGGCTAAGGGCATATGCGCAATTTTTTTTATCAGAAATTCTTATACACAGTATGATGACCATTAAGGTCCTGGTAATCCATCCCTTCTTCATATAATACAGGTATTGTTCATGGAACAACAATACTCTAAAAGAGGCTCAAATATTTGCTTTTGCTTCTACCTTTCACGCCTTTGTTTGTGTTTTGTAACTCTACACCCCCAGCGTTGGGTTGCAGGATGTGGGAGAGAAACCAGCCCCTTGTGGAGAGGGAGCACATCTCAGAGACAGAGCAATGCTATGACTTCTTATGTAAATAGAGGCCAACGCACTGTACACAGGTCGGAATCTTCCTGAATTCCTTTCCACAGACTTCCAGGTAAGAAAAGCCTTTCTTTCTTCCTTTCTTTCTTTAGAGGTCTGTTTCAGACAAATCCAGACTGGCCAGGTGGGGGTTTCAGCCAGTTTTTATTATACATTTTTGATCAGTCAGAAAGGAATGGAGTATGTTCTCGTCTGTGGACGACAGAAAAATTAAGCAAATGTTTGCATTATTGAATATTAATAATATTTATTTATAAAACAGATATGACTTATTTTGGGGTGAAATCTAAATTATACATTGTACGTTGTAAATGGATAGAAAAATGATCACTATTAATATAATGAATATAGAATTTGGTCCATGTGCAATTACCCACTAAAAATAATTAAAATTATCACAATAAATATGTAGACCTGGTGCAATGTAACATATATGGCGCAATGCAAATCTAATAAGCAATGAAAACACGGAAAGCCGTATGGTAAATAGTTGGCCAGTCCTATTGGATTTTCACAATGTTTTCTAAAAAGAGAATCACAATATTCAAAGCACGTGCCCTGATTATGATTTTGTTAATGTATTTTTATCAGTCAAAGGTTAATATCTTACATGTGCTCAGTTTTAATGTCAGGATACAGCCGTCCATGTGTCCCGCATGCACATATGCACTTTTATAGGCACATGATGAGGTTATCATCCTAAAGGCAGTTAGGCAATTAAACAAAGCAGTTACTTCTAAGTATTTTTTTCCCCACAGTCTTTATACATATGTCTCGCTGCAATCTTTGAGGAAGGATGTCTTATTCATTAATAATTATTCTTCATTAATAATTCCTGGTAGTGTGAAAGGTTCAACACCAAGTATCCCCTCAAGAGGACTTAAATAAATTACAGTTACACCTTAACCTGATGCTTCTTTACTTACTTATTTACTTACTGTTAATCCATTGTTAACTTTGACACTGCCCTCCTTCTGTAGTTAGTATACAAGAGGAAAAGAAATCATGAATTATCTCTTACTAAAGCAAAGCAAGAACCTTAGATTACGATATCATTATTAGTAACGTAATCCAGTCCACACACAAAGAACTGTGGACATATAGTTTTTTATGTGCTGAAAATTGTCCTTTGCTTATGACAAGCCAGATGGAGGATTGTGCTAATTCTTCTGACTAATCTCTGGAAATCTGTACAGCCATGTTTGTCGATTTTACAAGAGAAAACATTCCAGAGTGGTTAAGAGAAGACCAGTCTAAAAGCTGCCAGTGCTTTAAATAACAGGCTAATTAAAGTCTCCTCAAACTTGTTTTTTATACATTCCAATGAAAAGGAATGATGTTTTGCATGGAATAAATACTTTCCAAGTGTTTGGGGATGTCGCTATCATTTTTTCATGTTGAGAATTATGATACTACGATACTGCAATCATACAAAAGCCTAATTTATCACTATTTTTCTCTTTTTCGATTTCAAACTTCTGAAATGGATCAACTGACATTCACTTCATTCTGAAATTTCAACATGCTCTGGTGAGTTTTTGTGTGGTGACATCTTGGAATGTTTGTAGTGAAATCTCTGTATCATTAATGTTATGGTTGAATAAAATGTCTTTGTGAGCAGTATATTTTCAGTTTTTGCTTCTTTTCGATAGGAAGGCAGTTAATTTTAATACTTTGTGTTTTTGAGAATCTATGTGCTTACACTAATACGAAAATATACTACAGCATCTGCCTCAAATCAAAAGCACTTGTTTTTCAGCTATGTAGCAATTCTTTGTTTGCTTTAATAATATTCTATGAAGAAACAAAAATGTTGACTGGACTAAGAGTTACTTTTTGCTGGGTATATAGTTACATAGAAACTTATGAAAGCGTTGGGTTATTTAAATGTGTTATTCACCTTTAATGAATCTGGGATACTGATTAACTGATCTTGTCATAGTTTCACGTTATCATCTTAGACTTATGCGTATATATTGAGCGAAGACAAAGAAGCACTAAGATTGGTTCAATTTCCTGTGTACTGGTAAGTAATCCTAACACAGTCTGAAATGAATTTTGAGACTTTTTTTGTCGGGGTCAGATGAGTGAATATCACAGGAAACTGTGCTGTCCTGTTTTCATGGACAATAAACATCTACGATTATGATTAATTCAATGTTGTCGCTCGCACATTTCCCAAGAGGCTGGGTAACAATTATTTAAACCTTACAATGCTTAATCAGGTGACTTATTACTGACTATTGTTGTTGTTGATTTTATGAACTATGTTATGAATTATGTGATATTTATTTTGGAGAATAAACTGTGGTTATCTCAAACCGTTATTCATGGTCATGTTTCCGTCAAAGAGCTCTATGTATATGAATTCTTTGTTCACTCCCTAAACAGAATTTCTCTGCTGTATTTATTGAACTATGGTGTATATAAAATCAGGAATAACGGTTAGCACCATAATTAAAGGGAAAAAATGCCATCAAACCACGTATTGAATGCATATATTTATCTAAGGCGTTGATAATACACAATTCATTCAGGTATTGATTAGAATGAAGAACCTCCTAGATAAATATTTTAAATGCTTAAATGACCGATTCATGTTGTGTTTTCATTACTCTTCCACGATAACACGTTTGATCAAGAAAAAGATATTAGCAGTGGCAATACAGATAAAGAGGTGTCACAAGCGTGTGGGTGTCGTCTGACTACTGGTCACTTTAGGAAAATTATACGAGTATTTACGTAGATATCGTCTTCACCTGTAATTATGGCTCCGGCCTGCGATGCAGCTACGTAATATGTTCAGTAGTGGGAGCCATTTCATTGATCCGTCTTCATATTTTAGTCAACATCTCCGAGGTTTAGCGGCCGCCAATTGAGAACGAGTTATGTTTTTCCGGACATCTCAGTTAACCAGTCATATTTCAGATTTCGATTCTTTGCCGCCCGTGGCCAATGAAATTTCGGGAGGGTGGACCAATCCTCGTCATGGAGGGGACGGGCCTGGCTGAGCTGGCTTCCCTCCCATCCAGATTTCGGTCTGGGAATTTCAATTTGCGATTCGGGAGTTTGCCTCGGAGTATCTTCCCTGGGACCGCGTACGGAAAACAGTTCGTAACTTCTCATCTTTCTTGCGCCAGGTAAGGCGGCTGAATCTGCGGCAAGCCCCCCCCCCATGCGGCCGTCTTAACTGTGGAAATGATTCGGTCGGTGTTTGGGTGAAGGAGCACGTGAGGTTTCGTTAAATTGGCGTTAATCTGCGCGCGTGACGGCGTTTCAGAAGTGCAGGAGACCGCTGTAACGGGGGCGCGTGATGCAGCATTTCCGTTGCAGGAAGGGGGACGTGTTTGACTTTTTCGTTATTGCGTTCTTATTAAACCTAACTGATGTTGTCCTATTTTATTCACGTCACCTACATTCAAACAGATTCCCTGATTCGTGCATCATCTGATTGATCGATCCGGAGCCGGTTATCCTTCCTAGACTCCGATGGCGTCTGCGCAGTTTTATCGTTTGACCAAAATGTAATCCGGGTAAATCTGTTTGTTACATAGCGCAGCCCTTCAGTCTGTAATCCCCAGCACAGTCTGCCCAGTTGCCTTAACTCCCCTGTTGGGCGTGTGTCCGCTCTCCGCTGTAAAATTGCGTGTTTTTTTGGTCTCCCCTGTTTTACCCTGATCTCTGTGACGTGCAGCCGCCCACAGACCTCGACTCGGGATGCTGCGTTGTAACGTGCCGCTGATCGGGTTGTTTCTTTGGGTCCAGTTGGATTGTGTGCGATAGTTAACGCTTCGGTCTGCTTTAGTTAAATACCCGGCGGTGCGGCTGCGGTGCCCGAATGCGGCCGGTAACGTGGCGTTCGGGCGGGGAGGAGTGCCTTTTGGAGCCGCTCGCCTCTCCGGGTCAGGGCGGCCGGCGGTCCAGCCGCTCTGTCCTCGTTTCCGTGGCCAGATGTGTGAATAGTGAGTTGGGCGGTTCTCGATCAGATGATTTTGGGTGGCAAAACGACGCCCGGATCTTCAAAGGTCGTTTATGGCTCTCTCCAGACCGCAGTTTAATACAGAAACGAGTGGTTTTCCTTTTTTTGTACCATATATATATATATATATATATATATATATATATATATATATATATATATATATATATATATATGTATATAATATATATGTATATAATATATATCTTTATATACATGACGGGGGTCACCTCGACGCCATTTTAAATGCGTTTTAAATTGCGTGACTTTAAAACTTGGATGGAAATCGGCGTTTACGTGGAAAAACGACAAACTGGAGCGGGGACTCCGGAGTCAGCGTCGGCTCCTCAGTAATACACGTGAAAACAGCCTCTTTATTTACGTGCACTTTTAATCTTACTTCCATTAGCGCAATCTCCGTTATAGCGTATGGTGACAATTGTATAATAATTTTCTTAATGATCCTAAGACATTTTGTTTTGTAGTTTCACTGAATGCAAAGCATATTGAATGCTGTAAATATTAGCGTTATCGGTGACCATGTGTGCCGCCCACAGAACAAATTAACTTGTTGGATGTGTTGTAGAGTAATCTTATTTTAAGCGATGAGCCTTATTTCGGCAGTATGTCGTCCGGATTTCGGATCAGTTTGTAGTGGCAAGGAGCTGAGACACATTTATCATGTTAACCAGAAGTATGGAAACATTCATACATATATAAATAAGGGAAACGTTAATGCCCTCTGATCGTGCCCGTTTTTGCCCGCCTGACACGTGCGGCCACGGGTAGCGCGCTTCGCCGGACGTGCGAGGGCATTTATAAACCCTGCATGGCACCGTCCGAAAACCAAATGCACTTTCCGTCAGAATAATTCAAACTGTCTTTTCTGTCGTCTCAGCTCTATGATGCATGGGTCATATATCGGGATGATTTTTCTCTTTGTCTATACAGAAAATCGCATGTGGGATCGGCTGGCTTAAGATCAAACGATGTCCCTTTTCAAAACATCAAAATGCGAGAACAAAGCTGAACTGGCTCCTTTCTGGCTATAATTAAAAACAAACAAAACAAAACAAAAAAACTCGCCCGATGCATAACTATAATTTCACCCCCCTCCCACAAAATAAACCATAATCCCCTTGTTTCATAGTGTTCTAGTACTGTAATACTGCAATAGAAAGGGGAAGATAAGACACAGAAAGAGTGCAGTGTTTTCAGTTTAAAATGCTCTGTTGTGAAACAAATGAAAGTAAATGCAAGGAAAGCATCAGCTTTTGTAGGCCAACTGAAACACATGGCAGCAAGGCATGTCATAAAGTCATGCCATCAAATGCTTCCTGTGTCAATGCATGCAGGCTGCAAGCTTGGTAAACGGATATGCGTAAATTCACGATTTACCAGTACAATTAAGCTGGTATGATAAATGTTCTTCCCAAATGGCAGCCAACTGTGATAATTTGAGACTCAAATATATAACGTAAGACCCAGACTGCTGTGGTAATGGTATTCTTTCTTTCTTTATTTTTAAGTCTATCACTGTGAAAATGTGTTGCCATAGTGCTAAATGGCCTCACCAGCAGAGGTGTAAATGATCAGTAATGTTAATTTGAGAAAGTTAAGAGTCTGCGTAGATTATATTAATAGGTGAGTTATTGAAACACCTCTGGGTTTTTTTTCATGTAACTAGGAGGTGCAAGATGGTACTTACTGACCACTTCATCACCAAGCACAAGTTGCAGCCATTACTCCATGCATGCGATCAGGAGATTTAATGTAGTGAGGACAGTGCTGCATAGCAGCCTGCCTATTCTAATGAAAGCGTGGTGTTGCTTGGGAATTGGCTCATATTCTATTTTTAGTATGATTCTCCATTGCGCATGACAATATCGTGTTGTGTTGAATCTTCTCATTCCTCAAAACAGAGAGCAGGTGCTGTCTCTCACATGATATAATCACCTCATGGCTGTATACTTGGCGATATTTAACTTGGCCGTAACCTTTGTGTTTTGGAGGCTATCACTGGGCCCTCTATGTGAAATTGGGTTATAATTATATGACGTGTGTGTTCTGGCTCCCTTGACATTAAAATTTCACGTGACGTGAGAAGCCCTTGAGCGAGAGCGTCATGCGTTTTGTAGTAACCATCAGAGGGATAATGCTAATGTTATCTATGCATGTACGTGTGTGTTGTATTTGCATAGCAACTGCTGTTCTTTAGCCAGTTGCCTGAATAGCTTGTTTCCTTGGAAGTCCTTGCCCTCAATTCCTGAAGCAACATGCATCAGCTAGGGAGCCGAGGACCACACGTTCTATACCTTGCCTCTGACTCAGCCTTTATGCTCCTCCATCCTCATATCTTCTGCAGTCGGTCCTTCAGGAGCTTCAAGAAGTTCTCATCCAAAGTTCAGGAGGATGTAGTGGTGTGACCGCTCTGGATTTGCAGTAGCTCTGTGGCTTTCAGTAAGGAAAGGGCAGCTAAAATTGGGGTGATGCGGCCTAATTTTTCCCTGCATGAAGGGCATCCAAAAATAACGTTCTATATTAAAAAGAAAATACTTTAAATTCCATTTACCAAACAATAGTTTGTTCTTCTGTGAAAAGGTTTTGAATATACTGCCCTAGCAACACATTTTTCCCCTTCTGATTCAACACCCACTGGAATTTCTCTTCTGAAAAGAATGACTTGCTACTTCTCATCCTTAATTGTGCTAGTTCTGTTACTGCTTTGTTCCTTGGCGCATGTTTAATTTCGGCAACTAGGATTAAGTTGACGGGGACAACAGCAGGGGCTGTCTTGTTTCTTAGATATTTTGGTCACGTCCACTTTGGTCATCTGTCGTCTTAGGTGAGAAACACCGCATCATTCGTTGCAAGGCAGCGTGATTGGTGTCTGTTCCCTTGGTTTTATATTAATCTTTTTTTACACCTAGTAGACATCAAACAAGACCAGACAGCAGTTTTGCATGGTACAAACCACAAAAGCAGTCAATCAGATGGATTTATTTTTTTGGATACTGTGTTTTGGACTGGCTGAGCAGTTGATTAGCATTCTAAAGTGGCTGGTAATCTCATTCAATGATGTTCTGTTATATTTGGCTGGCAGTCTACAGTAAATATTATTCTTAAATGGTTACGTCAACAGTAGCATTACAATAAGTAGTTTCACTCTGGCCAGTGCTAAACTTTTGTTGTATTTGCTGCAGCTGCCATCTGGTTGCTGGTAGATTTGGTATAGCTGTAAAGGTAATATGAGAGAAAATTCTAGGCATTTTCTGAAGCTGCCATTCTCTGTGCTTTGCTATTATGAGAGTAGAACTTTCTAAAGTTACCTTCCCAGTTCCTCACTGCACAGGTGAGCAGTTGAGATCAGATATGAATTCGTCAGAGTTGCTGGACGGGTTGGCCTCAGCATTTCCTGTTTGCAGCTGAGAGACTCTGACATTGTCCTGAACCCCACCCACTCTACCCCCAGGTCCTCGCTGCACTCTGTGAGGTAGGGAGAGCTTGACCGTTTGGAAGGGTTGTGGGAACATCTCTCCTCCTGAGCGTCCTGTGAAGACAGCTGGGGTCATGGAGAGTATAGTGTTGCCCATGTTGTCCAAGCCCTTGGCGTGACCCTCGACTGAGCATACCCTTCCGCTCCGAATGGAGTGTTTCCTTGGTGTTTTTTGCTCCAGCTGGTGCTGAAACGAGGCTTGATGTTAATGTAAACCATTGTATGAACATTATGAAGAATTTGCATGCTTCATCTGACCTTTGAGGTATTCATTTTAAAGATTCGATGGCTGCCCGCAAAACCAAATCTGTCACAAGCTGCCCCACATCTGACCTCGTATGGTTTCCTGTATAGTTTTAATGAATCAATGGTCCCAGATGCCCGCATGTGGAGCGAACCAGGCGCCGTCTGTATACGTGATGTGTAGTTATCTGTCCCGGATTGGCATTTGCTGGCCCCTTGAGCTGGCTCAAACCAGGTCGATTTCACCGAACCACTGCTCTGAAATGGGATAGCAGGGGGTGGGTCTGGGGGCGTGGGAGGGGAAAGTACCCCAGCACACACTGCCTCGGGCCTGGAGCACTGCCAGGCATCGTTAAAAAGAGATTAACAGTAGGCATCCAGTTTGGAAGGAAACGCTCCCAGTGTCAAGCACTGGATGAATT